GCTGCTGCAGTGTCGGCTGGTCCAGGGGCCAGGGGCGGCCGTCCCAAGGGCGGGCGCGGGGTAGGGCAGGGCGCCTCGGCGAGCAGAGGCGACCCCGCGCGGGTCCCAGTGGCGACGCGCGGGTCGCGCGGGGGCGTCGCGACGAGGCAGGGGCGACGCGCGCGGGTCCCGGTGGCGACGCGCGGGTCGCGCGGGGGCGTCGCGTCGAGGCAGGGGCGACGCGCGCGGGTCCCGGTGGCGACGCGCGGGCCGCGCGGGGGCGTCGCGTCGAGGCTGTGGCGACGCGCGTGGGCCCGCAGAAGCGCTTTGACGAGGCGGGGGCGACGCGCGGGTCCCGCAGGGTCGTCGCGACGAGTCAGGGGCGACGCGTCGCGGGGTCCAGGGGCCGCGCCTCGGGGTCCAGGGGCGGTTGCGCGGGTGCAGAGGAGGCCCGCGCGCGGCCTGCAGGGCAGGGCGGCAGGGTGGCGCTCGAGAGCGCGAGTAGGTAGGCGCTCGAGGGCGCGGGTAGGGGCGCACGACGGCGCTAGTAAGGGCGCTCGACGGCGCTAGGAAGGGCACTCGACGGCGCTAGGAAGGGCGCTCGACGGCGCTAGGAAGGGCGCTCGACGGCGCGAGGTACTATCAGACACGGTCGCGCAAGGGCGCGGCGGAACGGTGGGCCCTAACCAACGTCGGTCCTAGGTCGTGACCTAGGCGTCGGATACCATGTTAGAATGTTGAACTGAACGAGAATGTGTGAAACTAGGCAGCAGGGTGATACAAGTAGGAAACCCTAGCAATGTTGTACCCCCTAAGGCTAAACCCACTATAGCCTACACAATAGGAACATGTATAATGTTTGACAGTACCTGGTTCGAGCTACCTCGCTGGCAGCCGCCCGAGTCTTCAACGGTCCACGTCAATGCCATCACGATGAAACAGGCTGTCGCCGCTGGAGCTGACGTGTACGCGGTGGATATAGCATTGGTAGGAGAAGCAGAGCAACCGAGTGATTTACAGAAACTGCTAGCAACGGTACCGCCCGAACTACAGGACGTACTGAAACGGTACCCGGGGATTTTTCCGGACGATTTACCGGAAGGACTGCCACCTCAGCGGGCACACAATCATCGAATAGAATTAGAACCGGGGGCACAGCCAACTGTACAGCGACAGTTCAGACTGACACAGCCCGAGCTCGACGAACTAAGGAAGCAGTTAGATTATCTGTTAGAAAAGAAGTTCATCCGACCGAGCTCGTCACCGTTTGCCGCACCGATACTGTTCACACCGAAGAAGGACGGAGGTTTTCGCATGTGCATCGATTACAGGGCACTGAACAGGGTTACAGTCAAGTCGCGATACCCCATTCCCCGCGCCGACGAACTGATAGATCAACTGCGAACAGCACGGGTCTTTTCGAAAATTGACTTACGGGGAGGTTACCACCAGATTAGGGTTGAACCATCAGACTGCGCCAAGACAGCGTTTAGAACTAGGTACGGGTCCTTCGAGTACACTGTGATGCCTTTCGGACTAACCAACGCACCGGCGACGTTCCAGATGACCATGTTCGAGGCGTTTAGGCCACTCTTAGATAAATGTGTGATAGTTTACCTCGACGACATCTTCGTCTACAGTCGAGACAATCAGCAGCACTTAGCAGACCCGTTGCATACGAGTCGCGAAAACTGCATCCGCCCGAGAAATTTTACCCGATACACGACCGCGAAATGCTCGCGATCGTGCATGCGTTCAAGGTCTGGCGCTGTTACTTGACCGGCGCAGACGTGACAGTACGGACAGACCACAGATCACTACAGTATCTCCGCGCACAGCCCCACCTCAACCCACGACAGATCCGCTGGCTCGATTTCCTCGAGTCAAACTTCCACTACACGGTCACCTATAAAAAGGGAGCATCGAACATTGCCGACGCACTGACCCGCCCAACTGCCCAGATCCACGCCATACTACTCGCACAGACCAGCCCACTACTAACAGGCCTATTTACCCACGGGTATCAGACAGACCCCTTCTTTACCGGAGGCAACTCGCAGCAGTCCGCAGCAGCAAAAGGGGTGTATTACGTAAAAGCCGGCACCGAACGCATCTGGGTACCGGGCTACACTTTACTAAGGGAACTGTTACTACAAGAGGCACACGACGGGGTTACCTCAGGACATTTCGGGGTAGAGAAAACACGGCAGCAGCTGCAGCGGTATTACTACTGGCCCGAGATGCTGACCGACGTGCAACGACACGTGGCATCGTGTCCCACCTGCCAGCTCATGAAATCGTCACGACAACGACCGGCAGGACAGTTGCAGCTGATACCACCCCCAGAGCGTGCTTGGCAGCAGGTGACGATGGACTTCGTCACGGGGTTACCGGCTGGAGCAAGTGGGAACGACGCGATCTTGGTCGTCGCCGATCGGCTGACGAAAATGGCACACTTCGCAGCCTGCAAGAAATCAATCACAGCCGAAGAAACAGCTCGGCTCTTCATCGCCACCATCGTTCGACTACACGGGATACCAGCGGCGATCATCAGCGACCGCGACACAAAATTTACCAGCAACTTCTGGCGGAACCTGTGGCAGCAGTTCGGCACACGACTACAGTTCAGTTCATCATACCACCCCGAAACCGACGGACAGACAGAACGGACAAATCAGACCATGGAACAGCTCATCCGAGCCACGTGCGACGACCCGACCACGTGGGAACAGCAACTGCCACTCATCGAGTTCGCGTACAAGAACTCGCCATCTGCCACGACCCAACAGTCACCGTTTTACCTGAACTACGGACAAGACCCCACAGTACCCATGACCCCGAATCCCGACAACCCAGTCCCACGCGCGCAACAGTTCGCAGAAATACTGCAAGCAGCACGGACCCGAGCAGCAGAAGCAATAAAAAAATCAAACGCCATCGCTAAGCGCAACGCCGACCGACACTGCCGCCCCGTCACTTATCAACCCGACGACCTGCTATTACTCGACACTAAAAACCTCCGCCTGCCCATCACCCCAAAACTCCGCCCCCGATATTGCGGGCCATTTCGCATCAGCCACATGATCACACCCGTCACCGCCCATCTCCTCCTCCCTGCTGACTGGTACGTCAGCCCGTCATTCCACGTCAGCCTGCTTCGCCCATACGTGCCATCCACCAGCCAACTGCCTCGCAACCGCCCCGCCAGCATGACACGACCACCGACAGAGCCAATCATCACACCCGAAAAAATACTGAGCCACCGAGTCCGTGACCTACGTGGAGCCCGCAGGATCGAATTCCTAATCCGCTGGAAAGACCGCACGCCCACCGAAGACAACTGGGTTCCTCTGGATAGAATTGAGAATCACCCTGTCCTGACTGAGTATCTGCGTAGCTGAAACTTTCGAGATGTACACGCGCTCTCGTAAGAGGGGCCTCCTTGAGGAGGGGGGTAGTGTAAGGAAAATTCATTTTCCTTACTTCGCGTCCCTGCTTACCGCGTACATGCCCGTTCCCGCCATCGGCAACCATCCGTGAACGTTACCCGCTCGCGACATTCGCCTCGACCACGACTCCCGCCACTGTTCACGATGCGACCCAACCTAACGGTTCGGTTGGTAACCCGCGCTCCGGACCTCCGCCTCGACAACTTCCCAAACCTCGGCGCTAGGCCCGTAGCGCACCCCAATTTCCCGCATTACCGTTACCATGCTAGCTTCGCTATATAACTTCGCTCATGCTTTTCGCTCAACTGTATTGATTGCTTCGATTGTGCAATTCTCACTCGCTCGTTCAATTGCACTCGTAATAGCTTTGTGTGATTCACACCTTGGATGTTAGTTGTTGTGCTCACTCTTAGTTTACTGCAAACGGATTTCTAATGGGTGTCTGCGATCCCTTTGGTTGGATGCATGGGTAAGTTGTATTGGGACCCACCACTGTACAGGTGGTTGACCACGTGGCGGAGTCATCGATTGCTTGAACAGTGGCTGATCCTCGGGCAGGCCAGTCTCTTTCCTGAAAGCCGTTTCACGGATCAACAATCGAATGGATGAGAAGTCGGCTGTGAGAAATCACATCAGTGATTCATGGTTCGTGGCTCAGGACGTTTCCACAAGGTTGAAAACGGTGCACTAAGGTTACTGTTTTGCACTGTGACGCAACGCAGAGAACGTAGACGCACAACCAGCCCAAAACGCTGAAATATTTCCTGCTCAACAGCGCTCCACCGACCAAAGTTGGGAAGGATGTGCTACCGCAATTTTTCTGTGGTCATTTGCGAAAGTCCCACCTGCGATGATTCGCTCAACCAACCCCCTCCTCCCGGATCATCTGAGCTTGGAAGCGCTGGGATGACGGCTTTCTGGCTGAATTCACACTGGGAGCCCTCGACAAAAACCCAGGGAGACGAGACATGTTGGGAAAACTACATTTTGGGGCAGCACACAAAACAAATACAGTACACGTAATTGTCAGGGTCCATCACTGCGCGCTGATCATGTGGCGTTGTTGTCACACGTCAGAATGTCCTTGCGCAGGGTGCTTGCGATACGATAGTCAGCTAGGCTGTGCGCAGATAGGTTGTCAGCTTTCCTCCACAAGAGGGGGTTACGGTTGCGGCGGAGGGAATGCCCCCCAGGTGAGGTGAGGCATTTGCGTGGCTGTATATTCAGTGTCCGCGCAGGGCAGCGATTTGCTTGTCCGCCGTCGAGGCAGTCGACTTGGGTTTTGCTGTCGAGCTGAGCTGAACACCTGATGGACGGCGAAACCCTATACAGAAGCAGCCCTCCCACCGACCCCACTAATCTTAGCCCTATCATCCCCACCACGTATCACAGCCTCATTCGTCGTCTATCCCCGACGTATCAGCTCCCAGCCTTCTGCTTATCCTGGTTGAACCCCGCTCTCCATTATTTCCTCCTTATCGCATCTCTCTCCATCCGTCGTCGTCCTGGCTCCTCGCAGCAGTGCGGGCGCCTGTCTAGTAGTAGTTGCTACGATCACCGACTCTTGTACAAATGGACCGGCAAAGCGCGTCCGCCGCTGACATTGGCGCTCAGACTCATCCCCTGCAGCCTGACTCGTTTCAGAGGACAGCTATGGCTTGCGGTTTCAGTGAAGACGCCCTTTCGTGCTCATTAGTACCTAAACGAGGGAGACTAACCCCTTTGGACGAGGAACGGGCGCGCCGCGTGGTGTCCGTGCACGAGGCGAAGCGGAGCATTGACGGCCCTCCCGCCGCTCGTTGTTTTTCCAGGTGCTGCCTTCCTGTCCTCTGAACGTGCATATCCTGGTCCTCCGCCGCCGCCGCTGTCGTACCTCTATCTCAAGCAGTAACGTAGGCTATAGTACTAGCACCATACTCTGCGATATTCCGCGCTGTAGACCATCACCACGAGAGGAAGCAAGCGTGAAGGAGTTTACCTTTTTTGTTTTTCACGATAAGATCGTTTTTCCGCATTTTTTCCTCCTCCCCCTGTCCAACCCACCCCTCCCCCCTCCTCTCCCCTCCCCCCTCCTCTCCCCTCCCCCCTCCCCCCCCCTGTCGTCCGTGCTCTGTCGCAGCCGTCACGTCGACCACGGCCAACGAGACTACGGCTTCAAACCGGGCGACAGCCGCTGGACGGGGGGTTCCCGTGAAGGCCCGGCGGAAACACGGCGGCATTGCTCGTGCTTGGAGGTGCGTGCACTGCGGACGTATGGGCGTCTCTGGCGCCCGTCTCTGGGTGGAAGACTCTCTCGTCGACTCATATGACTCCCAGACTATGTAGCCTCCTAGCATCGTTTTCCCCTTTTCGTAACCTTTAAGGCTCTGTCGAATTTTTTGGAGCGGCCGAGCGTAGTACCGAGATCCGCGCCGTCACTTCGCGCGCGTACTATGCGAGAGTGGAGCGGCAGAACCCCATGGGCCACGAGCGCACGTCACGGTTCGTGCTATGAACGGCGACAGCACGGTCATTGTTCCACCATGGCGTCCCGGCCAGTCGGCATGTCGCGAGGGCTCGGCCGCTCTGTCACACCGCGCGCAACGTCGTATTCGCGCACGTTCACTTCGTTTGGACATGCAAGCCCTTCGATGTTCTGGCGGGAAACTAGTCTCTCGTAAATCGACATGTTCCGGCCCGGAGAGTCTCCCGCTTATTCGTTTTTCCCTATTTCTCCGTCCATCGCGTGTGTGCATCCGTGTGCTCACCCCTCCCTTTGTGTCCCATATCTCGCTGGCCCCCGTTGCAGGACACGTGTCCGCGCTCCTCCCCCTGCCGCGCCGACGAAACTGTCTGCGCACCGCCCGCAGCAGCAGAACGAAGAGCGGCGGCGCAACAACGAGGATATCACGCGCTGTGCGGCATGTGCGCCAGCGACGGTGACGGCGACGGCGGGCGGAATCGCAGCGCAGAGTACGTCTGTGGGTGGCTGTTTGGTCTGCTCACACCCTCTGCCTTGCGTTCTGACTGTTTAGGGCAAACCGATACGGCCAGGGAGTCCGTGACAGTAACTGGGTGGCACATCGCCGCCCCGATTGCCGGCCGCCCTTGCTGACGCCACCGCCTCCCACGGCGATGCTGTCGTCGCACGCGATCCGTGCGATCGCGAGGAATAGGTGGCGACATTTTCAGTAATGGCTCAAGCAGTGATGCTGTGCGTAGTATGATGAGGTACACCGCCGCCGTAGTTACTGACGACGACGTACCTATCATGTTGTGTGCGTGTGCTCGTGTTTGTGGCGCCAGATGCGGAGCGGCGAGCGCTACGGAGGAGGTCGTTACAGGGGCTTGGTGTCGGCATCGTCAGCGGCACAGACATGGCTGCACCTCCGCGCAGCGCAAGGTACGGCGGTCGGTCATATTCATTCGTTACAGTATTTTGTGTTTTTTTTTTTTTTTGGGGGGGGGTTGGACAGCGAAAAGCGCGGCCAGAGTGGCGGCAGCGCGCGGGATGGCCGCGTCGGTATCGGCGGCAGCTTTCCTAGCCGTGTGCCACACTCGCGCGCTGCGAGCTCCCCCTTCGACTGCTCACGACTTCCGCGCCGGCCGCGTTCGTCGCGTCTTCCCGTGTCTCGCATGCCCCGTGCGCTGATCCCGTTCCCGATTTCTTCCCCCGTCCGCCCCGATATGTTTGTCCCCGCTATAGATGGACCCGCCGAGCTCATCCATGCAGCGGATACGCGCGTGCGATGGGGCTGGATGCGCGTCAAGAGACACAGGAGGAGCAGGGGGGCGAGGAGGCGGCGCACGAGAAGGGGGCGATGGTGGCAGCGACTGCAGCGCAACCACGACGTCGACAAGGCTGCGCGCTGCCGCGCTACCGGCGGGGGCGGAGGGCACGGCGTCGCGGCAAGCGTGGCCTGGGCGGGGGCGAGGCGGGGCGTGTGCGTGGCGCAGCAGCCCGCTGCGGTGGTCGTTTCCGCTCAACCTGCCCCTGCTACTGCTGCTGCGGCTGCTGCTGCTGGATTGTGTCTTGGCGTCGTCCGCTGTGACATCCCCTGGTACGGCTTCCCTTTCCCGTCAGCTGTCCCATGCCACTGCCATGCCTCCCCCCCTCCATCGTCCCTCTCACTGCACCCTTCACCTATCATTCCCCTCCGCATTCTGCCAACCCCGTCACTCCGTCCGCTAACCTCACCCCACCCCGCGTGCCCCTCACGCCCCCCTTCCGCCCCACCATCCCCAGGCGCGGCGTCCCCCGTGCGCATCAACTGCGGGGCGTCGGAGCACCTGACGGGAAGGGACGGGCGCGTGTGGGAGGCCGACGCCTTCTTCGCAGGGGGGGAGCCGGCGGCGGTGCTCAACGCGTCACAGCTGGGTTTCCCCAAGGAGGTGGCCTCGCACCGCATCTTCCACACGGGCGACGTGAGCTGCTACGACATCCCCCTCTCTCCCGGCCGCTTCATCGTGCGCCTCGCCTTCGCGTACCACAGCGAAACGCTGCCGGCCAAGACGTTTGAGACGGTCTCGTCCGTGACGGTGCAGGGAGGCCGCGCCAGCAGCGCGCAGGATTTCAGCGTCTCTGCTACGTCTGCACTCACAGGCGCCGCCGCAACTCGCGACGGCAGTGTGACGGCAAGCGCAGCTGGAGCTGAGCATTTCTATGCGCCGGCTGCTGCTCCCGCGGCGTCTGGTGCAGGCGTGGTGAGTCGCTTGCCGGATGACACGCCGTTCTCATCCCCGGCAGGCAAGGGCCCTCTGGGACCGTTTGACAGCCCAGGAATGGCGGATCTTACACCAAGTGTGAGCGAGAGCGAGAGTGGGGACTTGGGGGCGCTGCGAGAGAGCGTGCAGAGGCGGTGGCCGCGGTTTGCGGTGCTGGTGGAGGGCGTGCAGATGGAGACGGTGAGCATGGGAGGGCACGTGGGGGCGGTGTACGAGCCCGAGTACATCGTGGACAGCGCTGACGCCTCTCTCACGCTCTGCTTCCTGCCCGTGTGGGGCCACGCCCTCGTCAACTCCATCGAGCTCCTCCCCGTGCCCCCCGCCTTCTACCTCCTCCCGCCCGTCGTCCCCCCCAACGCCTACCTCGCCGTGCGCGCCCGCATCGACTGCGGCCGCGCTCCCACCAGCGACTCGGCAGTCGCTGCCCCCAACAGAACCACGGTCGGCGGAACCAACCGGCTGGCGGGCAGCAATGGTGCGGTGGCAGTGACGCCAGCTGCCAACTCCACGTGGAGCTTCGACACGTTGGTGGCAACGACGGGTTTTGTTCCGACGGGCCAAGGCAAGGCTTTGAGGGATGCTCTCGGGCGCCAGTGGTCCAGCGACCTCAACCAGATAGTGCAGACGCAGCAGGTGGGGGTCCCAGCACCCACTGGGGAGGCCGCGCAGGGCTCAGAGGGCAGTGGGCAGCAGGAGCAGTCGGGGCCGCAGTGGCGTGTGAAGCCGCCCAAGTCGATTGAGACGTTCATGCCGGTGGGCGGGGCGGGCGAGGCGCCGCTGTTTCTGGGGCAGGCGCTGCTGCAGACGGCTAGAGAGGCGGTGCTGGCGAGCGGGCTGCACTACTCGTTTTCGTTCCGCGTGCCGGCGCGCCTCAACCGCTGGGTGGTGCTGCTGCACTTCGTGGCGGTGCAGCCGGAGTTGCACGTGGGCGAGCGCGTGTTTGACATCCACGTGAACGGCGTCACTGTGAGCGGCTTTGACATCCTGCGCGAGGCGCACGGCCAGCACAACCGCCTCGTCACGCTGCCTGTGGTAGTGGGCTTCAGCCGGCCGGCCATTGGGTCGGCGCCCACGCTGGAGGTGCAGCTGGTGGCGTGCAACGGCAGCAGGCTCAGCCCCCTCATCAGCAGCATCGAGATCATCGAAGTCGTGCGCGCCAACGTCCCCCGCGAAAACGTCGTCTCGGGTAAGCCGCGTCTCGTGTTTATGCTCAGTCTTTGAAAATCTGTACCCCTCGTCCCCTCTTGCCTTCTTTCCCACGTTCCCATTGAAATAATGGCTGCCACTCACAATCTCTGTGTTTTCGATGTGCGTGCGCAGAGCTGAAAGCCCAACAGAGTGGCGATCCCAAGTCAGCCTTTCCATCCGCCTCCTCCCACGGCCGTAGCTATGCGGCTGTGGTTGCGGGGGCAATAGCAGGGGCTGGCGCGCTGGTGCTGCTTGTCATGCTCGTGCCCCTCGTGCTGCTATGGCGACGCCAGCATCGCCGCCGCCGCGCCGCCATGCGCTCCCACCTGCTAGGGCTCAATGCAGTTGACTCAGCAGCACCGCAAACAGAGGGTGCTGAAGGTACCACAGGTGATAGTGAGGAGCTGGGGCTTGTTGAGATTGTAGAAGATATAGGGTGAAATGAAGTGCCTTGTATGGTTAATGTCGTGTATAGTCAATGCGTATAGCTTGTGAGATCCAATAGGCATAGTAAGTTCAATATATATGAATACACCAGATGTCCGGCACAAGACACGTTTTCAATGCAAACACTCTAGCCCGCGCGGGAAAATTTGCCACTTTCGCCGCAAGAAACAACCAACAGTGATTGCGATCGCACTGCGTGGAAAGTGCAACAGTCATTTGAGTTTGTTCCTCGATGCACATTTGTCGGCTTGCAACGGAATCGTAACGAATGAGCAGTTGCACGTGATCTCCACCTGTGCAGCGGTCCTGCAGTTGGCAATGAGACGAAAATGTCTGTAGTGGACGTGACGTGTACGCAGTACCCTGCTAGATATGAAATGAAGCCTTATTGCAGCATTAGATTTGAAACACACTTCATAACCTACATCGTCCCATATTTTGTTAAACGCAAACATAATTATTTTAGAAAGACTGACATTAGAGAACATCTAGGTAAGATCCTAAAAAACATCAGTAGCAGGAATAACGTGCTAAGATAACCTGGTGCATTATATCACAATACTCATGTGCCCAACAAACATGACGGCTGGGGGGAGGGGGAGGGGGAGGGGGAAGGGGTTGTAGGGGGGGGGGACAGGAAATCACGTCATGATAACATGGATGAACCCATCAGGAGGTTGCTGCTGTTGCCGTTGCTGCAGCTGGTGTTTCCCCATCAGCATCCACCACACCATGGATGCACGCACCGTCATCGAGCCTCTCAGTAAGTCTCTGCAGCAGCAGCTTCTTCCCCAGCCGGAACCGCACCACCATCTCGCGCTGCCCTAATGTGCGCATCAACTGCGGCGTACACACACTCGCATCAAACTCCACCCCTTCGCACCCCTCTGCACCATCCGTACCACTCCCTGCCTTCGTTGCACCCCCCTCATGCCCTTTTCCATTCCCCTCATCTCCCACAGCCTCTGTGCTGCCCTTTGCATCCTCCTCCCCCCCGTCTGCTCTCGCCCGGCTGCCCTCTGCTGCACGTGCATCACCCTGTCCGCCCTGTGCCCCTCGTGCACCCAGGCGGCAGCCAGCCAGTTGCTGCAGCAGGAGCTGGTCCGCCTGCGCTGACGACGAGAAGGCCGACAGCAGCTGCTGGGCGCGCTCGGCTATGGCAGACGCGGCCGCGGAGAGGGGTGCCACCAGGTGGGGAGGGATAGAGAGGGATGCGGTTGGAGGGGGGCAGGGTGGGTGGAAGGGGTCGCGGGAGAAGGAGACGGCCACCTGAGCCAGCTGCTGCCAGTCCAGGTCTGGCGGGCGGGGGCAAGGGGAGACGGGGAGACGGGAGCGAGGAAGAGGAGAGAGAGAAAGAGGGGAGAGGGGGAGAGGGAGGGGAGCAGGAAGATATTAAAGCGACGCATAAGAGGAGCTCAGGGAACATGCAGACTGCCAATGGAGGAGGGGCAGACGTGACAGGCAGGGTCACAGATAAGACATGTGATGCGAGTGGACTGAGAAGGGCTTAAGTGGAGAGGACGAGATGGCAGGTGATATGAACGCGAGGAAGGGCGGAAGAGAAAAAGGGGGGAGGCACTTCAAGCAGGGAAGGGAGGGGCGGACAAGCGAGCAAGAAAGAGAGTGAAGGAGCAGGCGAGGGAGTGAGTGAGTGAAGGAGCAACGTGCAAGAGCCAGGAGTGACCTTCCCAGTGCTTCCACTTGAACCACACAGCAGCAAGAGCCGCGACGAGGCGGGGCTCCACCTGCCCATCCGCACCGGCGTTGTACGCCCCCCCGTCCACCTCGTCCCACTGCGACAGCGCCAGTGGGTACTGCTGCTGTGCGCCTGCCATGGCACTGCCGCTGCCACTGCGTGCCATCATCTCTGCGTGCACGGCGTCCTCTGCTGCCTCCACCGCCGCTGCCACCGCCGCCTCCTGCTCCTTGCTCAGCCCAGGGTCATACCACTGTGACGGCGCACTGTTGCTGCTGCTGCTGCTGCTGCCCCCTGGTGTGTTGAGTGGGTGCAGCGAGAGCAGGAAGGCGAGGATGGAGTCGGGCGTATGGAAGAGCGGCACGCGGTCGTGAGGGTTGGAGGCGGGCAGGTGGCCGTGCAGCGCCCACAGCACGTCGTTGGAGAGCGGTCCCAGGTTGAGCGACAGCGCCGTGCCGCTGGGGATGGCGGAGAGCGCTCGCATGGTGACGGCAGGGGTGAAGTCGGAGGGGGTGTGCGAGTCCGAAGCTGTGTTGTGCTGCTCACATGTACGCATGGTGGTCATGCACGCGTGGTGGTCATGCACGCGTGGTGGTCATGCACGTGTGGTGGTCATGCACGCGTTAGGGGACGGGAGAGGGCATAGGCACGCCGGAATGGGCACAGTGAGGTTGTGAGGCAATGCAGCAAGGGACGTGGACACTGTTCATTGGACAAGAGGCGCATACAAGGGATGAAAAGAAGGCATCTACTAGCGGGAGACAACGCGGAGGGATAGGAAATGGCGTACCTGCCAGAGCAACTCGACATTGGGGTCGTGTGAGTGGATGAAGGCGCCCGGCAGCGGCAGCAGCAGCAGCGGGGCACTGAAGCGGCTGCGCCTGCCCTGCCCCGCACCCGCACCCATCCACTGCTCCACCCACTGCATGCTGCGTGCTAGCTCCTCCGCACTCGTGCCCACCCACTGCTGCTGCACCGCACTGCACCCCTGGGCGGATGCAGCGCCCTCCCCTGCACGTGCAGACGCGGAACAGAACCCCTCACTGGAACCAGCGCTGCCAGCACCGGCTTCGGACGTGCCCCCACCTGCACCACCAGCACCAGCGGCGCCAGCGCCAGCAGTGGCAGCAGCAGTAGCGCCTTCCTTTTCCTCCCCCCTCTCCTTAGCCCACACTGCCGCCACCACCTTCCCCACAGGCGAGGCCGTGGCAGCAGTGGCGGGCAGCTGCGAGGGCAGCAGGCCGTGCGGCATGTGCGTGTAGGGCAGCAGGGGCAGCGCGCGCGAGAGCACGAGGGAGAGCGCCCAGAAGAAGTGCGACTTGGACGCGCGCGCTATGGCCTTGGCCTTGCTGCGCAGATACTCCTCCTCAAACGCTGCACGGTACAGCGCCAGCTGCACGGGCGTGCACAGGTGGGGGGGAGGGGGAGAGATGCGGAGGTGACGAGGAGGAGGGGGAGTGGGTTCGGTGGGAGGTGGGGTGGGTTCGGTGGTTATGGGAGGGTGTGTGGGAGAAGGCGAGAACGTGGGGGCAAGCATGGGATCACGGTGAATGCCCTCTTACAGAAGAAGCATGTGGAGGCGGGGAGAGAAGAGGGGCAACATAGAGAAAACGGCGCAACAGCCAAATGGTGAGCTGTTGGCAGGCAGAGGGAAGAGGGGCGATGGCAGAGGGCAGAGGGCAGAGGGCAGAGGGCAGAGGGCAGAGGGCAGAGGGCAGAGGGCGGAGGGCAGAGGGCAGAGGGGGGAGGGCAGAGGGGGGAGGGCAGAGGGCAGAGGGGGGAGGGCAGAGGGGGGAGGGCAGAGGGCAGAGGGGGGAGGGCAGAGGGGCAGAGGGCAGAGGGGCAGAGGGCAGAGGGGCAGAGGGCAGAGGGGCAGAGGGGGGAGGGCAGGGCACGGACCCGGCGCATCATGGGCGGGTAGTCAAAGAGCTCCACCACCTCGCGCTCAAACAGCGCCGGCAGCGGTGCATACCGCGGCAAGCTGCCGATGAACGCCGCCCACTTGGACTTGGCGCCCTTGGCGCGCTCGCGCAGGAGCCAGGCGGCGAGCACGGAGGCGGCGGTCCAGGGCTTCTCCTTGCGCGTCACGTTGTACGGCAGCTGCCGAGCCTCCCCCTCCGCTAGCCCGTCCGCTGTCTGCTGCAGCGCCGGGGGGACCACCAGCGCTGCTGCTGCCACTGCTATGGGCTGCTGGGCCGCGAGCATTGCGCCTGTGCTGCATGTATCATGTATGGGTGCGCGGGTGGGTGCATGCGTACGTGCGTACGTGGGTGGGTGTGGGTGGGTGGGTGGGAAGAGAGCAAGGATGGAGGGATGAAGGGGAAAATGAGTTGAAGCAAGGGAGCAAGGGGTGAGTGGGGGTAGCAGCAGGAGTGGGAGAGGTGACATACAGAGTGCATGTGGCGCCTCTAATGCAGGGACCTTCAAGCTCTGAGCGTGGCTCCAAGTCAGATCCTGCAGAGCGACGCCTTGTGGGCCCGAGGCCCTTCATACCCTCTCTGCCCTCACGCGCTGCTACGCCCATAGTTACGTGCTTCGAGAGCAAGAGGAACAGAGAGCGGGGCGGAGAGGAAAGCAGGTGGGGGACGGGGGAGAAAAAGGGAGGAGGGGTGAGGAAGAAGGAGGGCGGGGGACAGAGGAGCGACGGGGGGGAAGGGGGCTTACGTGGAGACAGGAGAGTCTTGGGAGGAGTGAGGACACGCGACAGGCTTGGGAGGTTCAACCTGGAAGGGGGATGGGGAAGGAGATGAGAGGGCGTGTGGGGGAGGGGTGGCGCGGCACCTGCATGGTGCGCCCACGTGCTGCAGCACGGCCGGCGGGGCGGGCGGCGGGGGAAACGACGAGCGGAACAGAGACGCAGGCGCGGAAAGCGTGGGGGAGGGAACATATGCCGCACACGCATTGCATTGGATTGAAAGCACTGTGCCGCCACGGGGGCGGCGGAAAGTGCGTGGAGGCAGAAGGGAAGCTGAGTGAGCGGAAGTGGCGGATTCCCAACAAGCGCGAGGCAGTTGGGGATGCGCGTGCAAACTCACACCAACGGCGGCGTCCGGTCCCCCAATGCCCTGCGCCCCTTGTTCCGCAAGCCATGCATTCACCGCCGCTACACCCCCACCATCCTCCCCTGCCGCCCCTTCCCCAATCTCCCCCAGGCGGGGGAGCGCTGCCCCTTCGATCACGGGGGGCGCGCGGTCGAAGGAGAAGAGCGGGGACGGCATGATGCCCAGCTCGCCCACATCCACGTCGCGCCACCGCACCCCGCCAGGCACTGCGCTGGCGGGCGCGAGGAGAGGCGCGCAGACGAGGGCGGCGCAGAGGAGTAAGCGAAGGGCTGCCGGCAGCGGGACGGGGAAGGTACGGGGAGGGAAATTGAAGGAGGGATTGAACGGATATGGCAATGCGGAGCGGGAAGAGCTCTCCGTGAAAGCAGGTACGTGGCTTCTCCTTTGCTTCGCAGACATAACGTGCTCGTGGTACGCGCGGGGAGTGGTAGAGTAAATGAGTTATATATTATTGTTCAGGCCCGATCTTGCGACGTGCAGTGGGCGCGGCAAAGCGGTGCGGCAGCAGCACCACGTACGTACTGGTGCTGGCGAGCGCGACGTTCGCAAGGCAGCGTGCGCGCGGGACAGGAGTCATGGCGACAAGCATACGGCGAGAGCAGAGACACGAGCGACAATGGCGGAGAGATTGGAAGGAGAGCCGATGAGCAGTAGAGGAACAACAAAAGCGGGGCGTTTATCACCCAGGGTGTAATGGCGTGGCACCCCACCCCCCTGTCTCCACCCAACCAATCAAGCGGCCGATAAACGGGATCCTCTGCGAAACTCGCCCGCGCTCGCCAATGGGGGTTCGCAAGTTCGCGAATGTGGTGTACGGAAGGAAGCTTGTTGGTCACAAGCACATCCTCAACAGAAAAGGCCGCGTGACAAGTTAAATCTCGTTGTTCAAAGCTTGTTTGTTCGTTCAATTGATCAAACATTTGAAAAAGAAGTCACATATTTACTTTAACAACTTGCTATACTAGTGCCAGTATTATGCTAGAGCACTAGAAGGCTACAGGCTGTACGCTTGAAGAAACTTCATCAACTAAAATAGCAATTCTAGAAATACAAATCCATTCCACAAGCTGTGAAGCAAGATGGAGGCTAACAAGTTCCTAGAGCGGACAAAGACAACCCCAATAACAAGACCAAGGAAGAAAAGCGGGAGCATGCGTTGCAACGAGAAGTGCGCAAGTGCAAACACCATTGCACTGACCACCACTGAGGCCCAGAGGGGGAAGTACCGTGTGAGGGACGGTAGGAGAAACCCCCGAAACACAACCTCTTCCCACACAGGTGCGCAGACAGCAACAGCGATGGCATAGAGCAGCGTGGCAATGGGGTCATGCGAATGAATGGACTGCTCCAAGTGCGTGGTGGCCTGGAACTTGAGAGGCAGCGGCAGCAGCTGCAGGTTGAGCTTGGAGAGCAGCTGCACGAAGGGGAAGAAGGAGCAGGCGAGCAGCGCCTGCAGGTACCAGCGCCCCGACAGGTGCACGGGGAACCAGTGCGGTGGCAGGGGCTGGAAGCGCGTGAGGCAGCGGTTGAGGATGGCGATGCCGACGGTCATCTCGGCCAGGTCCGTGAGCAGGCTGTACAGCGCGTGGGCTCGCAGCGACATGGCTGCCCGCCGCAGCCCCAGCGCCTGTGCCAGCAGCGGCACTAGCCAGGAGCCGATGAGCCAGAACGCCAGGAACCAGAGGAACATAACCTGTCACCGGGGGGACAGGGGGGGAAGGGAGGAAAGAGGAGGAGAGAGGGGATAGTGCAGGATTGTGTGGAAAGAGGAGAAATGCAATGATAGGAACCCCTACTGACACATTGTGAGTCCAAGTAGAAATGCATGCAAAGAACGGAAAGGGCCGAAACAGAACGGAGGTATTGTCAACCCTTCCCTTCCCCGGTCAGTTCATTCCAGTAATCCATCGTCCTCCCATGGTGGTGTCCCATCGCTGCAAGTGCGTGGAAAAGAGGGAGAGAGGGGAGTCACCTGGAAGATGGTATCTCCCTGCCATGGCACGCTCCAGATGCGCTCCTCTGCAGCCGGCCCAAACACCAGCCTGCCCCATTGACTGCGGATCCGCGACAGCTGCACGCCCAGCCGTGCCCACCGCCCCGCCAGCCAGTGCCAGCTGGCGGGCAGGTCGTGCAGTGCATTGTCCACGTGTGCGTTCTCCTCACTCTCGTCCCCATCCCTTGACCGTTCCCCTCGTTCCGTTTCTTTTTCCGACCCGGACCCTGAATCCGCTGCTCCTGACGCCTTCCTATGCGCGCCCTCCCCCCGCCACGCCTGTTCCCCCTGCACCTGCGCGCCCCCTTGCCCTTGGTCCCCCTGCCCTTCCCCCTGCAGCTCTCGGTCGCACCAGCCTTCGTTCCGAGCGCCTCTGGGCACATGGCGTGCCTGTTGGGGGACGGGGAGGGGAAGCACAGAGCGAGGGGAGAAACGCGGGTGCGTGAACAGACGATGAGAACGGATCGCAGGGGATACGCGGAAGGCATGGGGAGGGCTCGCGGGCGGGAAGGAGGGTGGGAGCGCGGGTGGGGCGAATAACGGAAGCCCGAAAAAAAAAGGATCTCCGACACTGCTGGCCGCCAAGCGCTACCCGGTCTCGAAACTTTAAACCGTGCAAGCATCGCCACTGGGCACAGTATCGCCTACTCGTGAAAAAAGGCGCGCGGAGATCGGGGCGGAGGAAGAAAGGGGGGGGCGTGCCTGGGAGAAGCGCGAGGACGGCAGCGGGAGGCCTGCGCACGACACGCAGCTGCGCGCGCCGCACACGCGGCACGCCCCGCCAGACGCCCGGCCCATCGCGCCTTTCCGCAGGCCGTCGCTTCCCCGCCTCCCGCCGCACCCCCCGTTCCCCTCATTTCCTCCGTTCGATGACGATGACTGCGCCGCGGGCTTTAGCGACGGGCGGGGCTTGGCGGCCAGTGGGCGGGGGGACACAGAGGTGCGCGGCCGCGCGCGGCAAGGCGAGTGGAGGGCGCGCTGGCGCAAGCCGCCGTCTGCGGTGTGCGGAGGGAGGAGGAGAGATAGGAGCAGGGGAATGAGAGGCGGCCAGAGGGAAACGAGGACCAGGCGAGCGCGGGAGGCGCGGCGTGGTGAGATTTAACAGTGGTGGTTACGTATGCGACGATCCGATCCGACGTCGATGGGGCACGAGAGACGACGACGGGAGAATCGTCGCGCGCAAAGACACCAAGGCAGAGGTAGCGGTGACACTGATTGGCGAAGGAAAGGTAACGAGGAAGGAGCGTTGAGCATGGGATCGGCGAATGTTGAGGGCAGCGGGCAAGGGTCGGCGATCCGATCGACTCACCTGATCCTAAACCGGGGATAGCGATAGAGCGGGCATCCGGCAGTCCCGCATAAGTCGCCATGCGGGGAGAGGCTGGTGATCCTACGGACCAGCGAAATGCGCGTGCGTGGAGATTAGTGCGGGGCTAACATAAACGCGCTACTCTATCGAACAAAAGCAGGAGAAGTCGGACACGCCCCCAAAGTGAGATTTAAATTACAGGCAGCCACCAGGAATTAATTCCTTGGAAGGTATATGGCACAGATTTCTTAGACGGCCAACTCGCGGACGACCGAGAGTAGGGTTGACTGTGAGACGCTGGTGCGACGATGGATGTGGAGCGATATCGCAGCAAGGGGGAGGAGAGGAGGTTGGGGCAGGAGGGGGAGTGGGGAAGAAGAAGAATGGACACCTCGCATAAGACGATTTTTGCTAAAAAAGGACTCGTACAAGTACAAACACGGACTGCTCCATACCATAGCGGGTACGGAATAGTCGATTCTGGTGGACTTGGTTCAGGACAGGAACGATCGGTCTCGAAACAAAAAATCTTGGAGGTGAGTGAATATGCGTGAATATCCAACTTGTGGAGCTGCTTGCTACATGATGTCCATTCCTACATTCTATACTAACGCTCATGTCATCTATTCCAATATGCTAAGAAAGTCATCTATACCTTGGGAATATTCGCCTAGATTTTTCCTGGCTGCGAGTCCTAGACGCATGGAGTCCTTATTCGCCTCACCTAAATTGTAGAAGAAGGCCTACTGGGAATGTGATCAGGGACACGCGGAACTAGGAATAGCCCTTTTTATTCTCCGCATTGCGCACTCAGCTACCGTAGCGTTCGAAAGCTACCTTTGTAATCCGCATCACCCGTGAAGCAAGGCTCGCTGCCAGTCGACGGTCCAGCGCGTCTCACATGCATCCGCCCGTCGCACCGCAGCACGGCTCGTCGCACCCGCAGCAGCACGCGCAGCAGTACTCGCAGGCGGCGCAGCAGCACTATGTGAAGATCTGCGAGCTGCGCCCCGCGCCCGGGAACGTCGTCAACACCGTCTTTATCCTCCTCGAGAAATGTAAGCCCGCCTGCGCGCGCCTCATCGCGCGCCGACCTCAGCTCCCGCTACGCGTCAAGAATCTTCCTCCCCTCAGCCGTGTCCTTCTCTCCCCAGTGCTCACCGCCTTTCAATATCCCGCCTTTGTGCCGCTCGTCCCCTCGTCGCTCCAAGCATGGTCAAATCTGCTCCTCTGTCCCCACTCTCGTCCCACCCGTGCGATGGACTCGTCCCTCCCGCATGCCATGCATGCTGTGTGCTGTGTGCCCTGTGTGCCAATACGCCATGGCACATGCCGTTCGTGCCATGCATGCCATGCGACAGGGCCGGCGGTGCGGGTGAGCGAGGCGGGCGCGGTGGTGTGCACGGCGCTGGTGGCGGACGGCACGGCGGCGGTGCACATGCAGCTGTGGGGCGCGGAGGTGGACGCGCTGCAGCCGGGGGACATCGTGCGCCTCACCAGCGGGTCAGCGCGCCCTGCTTCTCTCGCATGTCTGCCCTGCTGCCACCACGCTGCTACACTGCCACACTGATTGCCTGTCATGCTGCTTGCTTGCTTGCTCGTGCTGTGTGGGTGGGGGTGTCTCCCTGGCCACCATGGTTGCGCAAGTTAGGGAGGGCAGGGTGGGGGAAGTAGAGTGCATGTTGCTGCGCTGTTTGCCTATGCTCCAAGGGGATGAGGGGGTGGGGAATATGATTCTAGAAGGAGAGTGTTCTGCCTGTGTCTTCACCGTCTGTCCCTCTCTCGCTTTAACCACAGCCTCTTTCCATTTGTTATCATCCCCCATTCCCCTCGCACACACCGCCCCATGCACACTCTTTCCCCCCTCCGTCCCTTTTGCTTTTCCAGTATATCCACTCTAACCTCCTTCCCCTCCCACCCCCCCCCCCCCCCTTCCCCCCCCCCGTGTGTCGGCGCGGCAGCATCTTCTCGTTCCACAAGTCGAACCTGGTGCTGCGTGCGGGCAAGAAGGGCGCTCTCGAGAAGATCGGCGAGTGCGTTGCAGGGGGGAGAGAGCGGGGGAGAGCGAGTGGCACGGGGGAGAGAGGGGGGGAGGGTATGGAGCAGAGGAGAGGGAGTGAGGGAAAGGAGAGGGAGTGAGGGAAAGGAGAGGGAGTGAGAGAGGGCCACCGGGGGGCGAAGCAGAGAAAAGTCGTTCAAAGCTTCTGTGTGTGACACAGCTCATGCTGCATGACATGCACGCCTTGCTTCCCTCGCAGTCCTGCACCAACCGTGCCCTCTCATCCCCATCCCCTCCCCTTTAAGGCCCATCCACACTAACCCCCCCTCCCCTCCCTTCTCGTCTCTCACCCCCCCCCCCCCCCAGGTTCACGATGCTGTTTGTGGAGGCGCCCAACATGAGTCGCCTGCAGTGGGCGCCTGACCCCGCCAACCCCAAGCACTGGGTCTGTCACTGCACGCCCTGCCCATCCTCCCATGCCGCCACGTGCATGGCCTCATGGGTCGCACTGCATGCACACAGCCGTGCATTGCGCATGCTGCTCGCTGCTCTGCCATGGGCGCGCCATGGGCGCCTGTGAGGTCGCCCTTGCTTCTGCTGCCACCATGCTGCACTGCCCACCCGCTCTTCACTCCAGTCGAGTCGGGTGGTGTCGCTGCTCGCCCTCCACTCCATGCTCACAACCATCATCCATGCTCACTCATGGTCACCCATGCTTGCACGTAAACTGCAATTGACCCATATGCCTGCTAAGGGCCTGCTCTGCCACCCTCCTCTCTCCTTCTCCCCCCTCCTCCTCCCACTCCCCCTCCCCCTCCCCCTCCCCCCTCCCCTTCCCCTTCCCCCTCCCCCTCCCCCCTCCCCCTCCCCCTCCCCCTCCCCCTCCCCCTCCCCCTCCCCCTCCCCCTCCCCCTCCCCCTCCCCCTCCCCCTCCCCCCTCCCCCTCCCCCTCCCCCTCCCCCTCCCCCTCGCCCTTCCCCTCCTCTCCCTCTCTCTCTCACTCTCTCTCTCTCTCCCTCCCTCCCTCTCACTCCATCTCACTCTCACTCGCTCGCTCGCTCTTGCCCTCCCCACCAACATGTCTCCCTCCACGTCCCCTTACGGCCGGCTCGATGTGCAGGTGCCCAGGGGGGGTATGCCTGCAGGCGGCATGGCACCGCATGGCAGATAGCGCTGCACCCACGCCCACCCAAGAACCTGCTCCTGCAGGATTAAGCTGCTCATGCTTCATGCTGCTCTTGCTGCTGCGATTTCTGCGGTCCAGCCTGCCACACCTTGGCAACCCCCCCCCCCTTCCCCCTCCTTCCTGACGAACCCCAACCCTACTTGCAGTGCAACATACGGTAGATGTAGGCCCTTAACATGTACATAGCGAGCAACAGCGCCATTCATGAGAGGGTGCCATGTGCTGACTCATAGCCTTTGTAGCACTTGCCAACCACAGCCCAACGAACGAGGCTCACTGAGTGCTGTGCCCCTGATGCTCACTGCCAGCCCTACAGACAGATCCTGCATATTGCATTCTGAAGCAGTACATACAGGAATACAATGGACATGGATACGCTAACTAGGGTAAACGAATCACTGACAAACCTGGCAAGCTACATAGTCCGGACTAAGTGGGAGCAGTATCGGAATGGCGTTGCTATCTAGAGCTAGTACTCTGTCTCGATCAGCCCGTCAATGAGCCCAAACTCCATGGCCTGGCGCACACATCGGGGGACAGGCACAGGTGCAGAGTGCATGAGAGATTTGAGCGGTCAGCCACAGCACGAGAGGATAAGGAAGCAGTCGGGGAGAGAACAATGCGACGGGATGAGAAGGGTAGGACAGTGGAGACATGGCCAGATGCATTTAGGCAGCTCAGGCAGCGTAATGTGAGGGCATGGGAGGGCATGGGAGGGCATGGGAGGGCATGGGAGGGCATGGGAGGGCATGGGAGGGCATGGGAGGGCATGGGAGGGCGTGGGAGGAGAGACCTCGGCAGCAGAAAAGAAGCGATCCCTCTCGGTGTACTTCTGAATGAGCTCCACTGGCTGCCCTGTGAACGCTGAAAACATCTTGTCCAGCTTCTGGTGGCCCCATGCACACATGCACACAGGCACGCACAGAAGCACACACATGCATGCACACGCGAAGGCATGCAGGCACGCACATGCATGCACGCACACCAATGTCAACCTTCTCCTTTTTGCACCCATGTCCACGCAAGCACGCATTCAGAGAGACAGTGAGAAAGGAGCACACACGTCCAGACACGCATAGGAGCACACGAATGGGGGAAAGGAGAGTGAGGCGACAGAAGGAGCAGCAGGGCCGAGGCCAGGCGAAAGGAACTCCAACAAAAGGGACATTTGAAGGGATGGCGCATGTGCCGTGGACATGGGTGCAAAAAGGAGAAGGTTGACATTGGTGCATGGCATGGTAAGGCACGGCAGAGTGAGAGGCGCTTGCACGGCGATTATGCGAGGGAGCATGCAGCCACAGAGCAGAAGAAGAGCGGAGATGAGAGGAGAGAGGGGACGAGGAGGGCAGGGAGGTGGGGTGAGTGGGGGTTACATCACGAGACGCCATGACCTCGTTGACTTGCCGCCGCACGTCCTCTGATGAACCCTGTTGCATCACACACAGCCACATGGCACAACCAGCCCATCCATCCCAGGGCAGGAAAGCAGAGAAGGATTTGGTGGCATGGCATAACAAGTGGACACAACAGCGGGAACCAACCATCATTCGTGCCTATATCCATGGCAAGGTTCAAATATATGGTCGTTAAAACTTGCCGTAAAATACGGTATTCTGTAATAGGCTCCTGCTAAAAATCGTAGAGCTGTGGCAAAAATACGGTCGTTTTTTACAACCTTGATGGCAGCACATCCGCATGCATGCCAATCTTCGTGCGTGCGTGCATGCATGTGCGTGCGCCTGTGGATGCGTGAGTGTGCGATTTGCACGTGGGGTGGGTGGGGTGCAGATGTTTGGTTTTTGAGGGAGGGGGGTGGTGGGAGGGGGTGGAGGAAGGGGGTGGGGGGCCGGTGTGAGCATGTGGGCGGGCATGTGAGCATGTGTTCAGTTCGGCCACCTGCGCGCACACCTGCTAGTGCCACTGCATCACTCCCCATTCCCTTTTCCCTTCCCCTTCCCTCTCCCTCTCCCTCACCCTCCCCCTCTCCCTTTCCCTCTCCCTATCCCCCTCCCCCTCCCACTCACTCTTCCTCTCCCCTCATCGCCCCTTTCCACTTCCCTCCCCCTCCCGCCCCCCCCCCCCTCCCCCCCAGCGTACCCCGCACCCGCCCTGGGGCTGGTGGATCATGATGCGCGAGTTGGGCATGGCGAGGCGCTTGCCCTTGGCGCCCGCCGCCAGCAGCAGCGCGCCCTGCGACGCCGTCATGCCAAACGCCACCGTCTGCACGTCCGGCTTTATCTGCCCTCGCACACGCGCGCACGCATGGGGGGGGAAGGTGGGTGGGAGGAAGAGGGAGGGGGTGGGGAGAGGGAAGGGGGTGGGGAGAGGGAAGGGGGTGGGGAGAGGGAAGGGGGTGGGGAGAGGGAAGGGGGTGGGGAGAGGGAAGGGGGTGGGGAGAGGGAAGGGGGTGGGGAGAGGGAAGGGGGTGGGGAGAGGGAAGGGGGTGGGGTGGGGGAAGTGGGTAGGGTGATGAGTGGAGCGCGGATGATGACGATGGGTGCACGTGCAGATGATGCATGCAGGAACAGGCAGGGGTCAAGAGGATAGTGCAGTGCGAGTGGTGTGGTGGCAGCATGGTGCTTGTCCCATATGTGGTGGCTCAGAGGGCGGAAGAGTGAGCGCGCACGAGGACGGGCGGATATGAGTGCGTGGAAGAGCGGGGCGCGTTGAATGGAAGCGAGACGCGACAACCTCAGGCCACGTGCCATGGCGCGCAACGCACACGACACGCTGGCAGGGTAGCATGGGTGTGGTTGTGGGTGTGTGTGTGTGAGTGAGGGGAAGGGGGAAGGGGGGGGTGAGAGGGGGGTAGTGAGGGGGGCTTACCCAGGCCATGCAGTCGTAGATGGCGAGCACGGAGTACGTGCTGCCGCCGGGGCAGTTGATGTACATCTGCCAAGCGCGCACGCGCACCACGGCACCGCCACGCGCACGTGGTGGCGGGAAGGGAAGAGGGGGAGGGAGAGGAAGAGAAGAGGAATGCTCAGGTGAGGAGAAAGGGAAGGCGCAATGGGAGGAACGACGGAAAGGCGCAGTGCGGAGCAGAAATGCGATTGGCAGCAGCTCAACGGCCTCTCTCGCTCTCGCGCGCCTTGCCATGCCTCCCCTGCCCCACGCCTTGCCCTCGTCTCATCCCCCCTCCCCCAGCAGCTTGCCGGCCTGCGGCGCGCACCTTGATGTCTTGGCGGTCGTCGACGGCGGAGAGCGCGAGGAGCTGCTGGATGACGCGCTGCGCCATCTGCTGGTTGATGGCGGACCCCACGAAGATAATGCGGTTGCGCAGGAACGCCGACATCAGGTCCGCCGGGCCCGACGGCGTCAGCACCACCGGCTGCATCGGCGGGATCTTCTGCCGCGCCGCGCGCGGCGACACCACGTCGCCGCTCACGCCGATGAGCCCGCTGGACGCGCGCGGAGCGGCCGACACGCGCGTGGAGGCGGCTGGACGCGACGCGGCGACACTGGGGCCGGGGAGGGCGGATTAGAGGGGCCACAAACGAAGGAGGGAGGCGGGGGGAAGGGGGGCATGAGAGGGCGAAGGAAGGGAAGGCTATGGCAGCGAGAGAGGGTGAAAGTAAGTGTGAGGCCGCGGAATATGACGACCTAATCACGGCCGAGTGCACCCTCGTCCCCGCGACCATCGCCCGCGAATTGCGATGACCGATGGGACTACACCCCTATTCAACAGCTGCATACGACTCGTCCTACACCTTGCCGACTGTTGCTGCTACGTTCCGAGTAGGAAATCATACAGAAGCCCTTCAGCCGCTAACACCGGGAATGAACTGTGCACGCTGGTACTAACACGGCTCTGTGTTGCGACAAAACAGCGACAGCGACGGCGTAGACCGCGAAACATGCCTCTAATTAGCGGAGAGATCTGCACTACGAGTCGTACTCTGCGACGAGCGGCGACCGTGCGACAGCAGGAAGTCGCCCAAAGAACGACGATCTGTCGCCTGCAGCCGTGAGCGACTGCGCCTGACCCTTCCACGCGGCAGTGGGAGCCGCGAGTTGAAGGCTGCAGCAGGCCATGGCGATGTGACTATAACGAAGAACGGCGGGAGGGACAGCGAGGGTTGAAGAGGAGCGTGAGGGGAGGAAGGTGGTAGCAGTGAGGGAGTGCGGAGTGCCGCGAGGAGCCCGAGGGAGTGTGGGGATAATGGGAGAGGTATGTGGTGGAGATAGATGTAGAGCGGTGAAACTTGTGAGTGCAAACTCCGAAGAGCGAGAGGTTGGGGGAAGGCGACAGATGGTTGCGACACGTGATACCTGGTAACGTTACACCTGGCAGATATTTGAGCTGATTTATACTTCCTCAAATATGCCACTTTCAAGTTGTCAGCCTTGTGCACTTATCCAAGTTTGTACTGCATGTGAGTAATTAGAGCCATGCACGAATGATATGTGACAATCACATGTGAATATTATGGTTGAAACTCCAACCCACAACTTGGCTCTCCATCATGCAACGGGAGAGGGATGCCCTGTTGAGTCAAGCTCTCTCCAGCAAGCGCCAAGCCTCTCTTTGAATGAGCTCCCATGCCTCCTCCACGTGCCTCTTCTGAGTTGTAGAAGCCCCAACCACCATCCGAATCGTAAATTTCCCCGACAGCACCTGTGTGCAAACGATTCATCGCAAAGAGCATGGCCAATTGAGGATCCAGCACACACAGGTCTGTCACAGGACATGCGTGGAGGCACACTGGTGTCTGTGCAACCTACACATGTGTCACGCTGACCCAAGGGACCGAGAGGAATGGGAGAGCAAGAGGGGTGGAGAACGAGAAGCAGTTGCTAGAGCAAGCTTTCCCAGACCGCAGGGTGTGAGATCAACAGAGGCCCGTGGGATCAGTGCCTGTGGATGCAATGTGCAGCCCCGCTCCCCCCCTACGTGCATCTCTCGAGCTGCTTTATGGGGATGCGTGGGCGATGCCGAGGGGAACCCATATGAGCAAAGAATGAGGGAGACGCGGGAGTGAGTTTACGAGAGACAAACGCTTGCGAGATCAGGTGGGAGTTGAGAGGAGAGAGGAGAGAGGAGAGAGGAGAGAGGAGAGTGGAGAGTGTAGAGAGGAGAGTGGAGAGAGGAGAGTGGAGAGAGGAGAGTGGAGAGAGGAGAGTGGAGAGAGGAGAGTGGAGAGAGGAGAGTGTAGAGAGGAGAGTGTAGAGAGGGGAGAGGAGAGGGAAGAAAGAAGTGTTACAGTGTGGGTAAGGAAGGCTTTTCCAGACGAGTTGACGGCCTCCAGCAGGGCCTCGTTCAGCGCCCACCCCTCATCGCCACCACCGCCCCTCGCCCCGCCCCCCTGCTCCCCGCCGCCGTGCCCCTCCATGTGCTGCTCTGCCTGCCCCGGCGGGCGCAGGCGGAAGCACACGAGGGCGAAGGTGCGCGGCGCCATCAGCTGTGGTGGGGGGCGGACGGACGGGGGGTCGTGGTGAGTGGGAGGAGCGGAAGGGTGATGAGGGGAGAGAGGTGGTTGTGGGAGGGGCATGAGTGGGCGGGTGGGGTAGGAAGTGTGCAGGGTGCAGAGCAGGGTCGTCAGTGCATAGGCGGGCTCCGTGCAGGGTTGAGTGATGTGAGCAGAGCAATGGAGCAAGTGTATTCACACACGTGCATTTGTGTGTGGGTGTGCATGAGGTTGCCCGTAAGTGTGCTTGTGTCTGTGTCTTTCTGTGTGCCAGTCCCTGCCTGCCCTGCCCTGCACCGCGATTACTCACGTCCCGCCGCTTAGTCCCGTCACCTATCCATAGACCTAGCTGAAGCACAACCATTGGTGCTTTATCCTGCAGCTATCAGCAGTATACTCAAGCGTCCTCTCACAGAGCCTCTTGCAGTCGCGTCATTCGGATGTGGGGGAATTATTAGATGTTATGCTTCGTGAATCCACACCCTCGTAGCATCCACCATCGATTCTATTTCTATGGTTCGGGCATGCGTGTGTGCAGCAAGTGGTGAGCACCTGGAAGCGGGCATCAGCAGCGACAGCGGCTTCGAACCAGCGCGCGAGGGACACGTGGTGGCGGATGTACGCCCTCAGCTGTGCCGCACCGAACATGCGCAGCACAAACCACAGCTTCAGCGCCCTGCCCTCCCCCCGCACAGGCGCCATGGGGTTGGGGGGGGAAAGGTGCGGACAAGTGAGAGAGCGCGACGGAGGGGGAAGAGAGTGAGAGCGAGGGAGAGAGGGCAGATGTGCACGGAAACATAGGTGTGCATGTGTGATGCGAATGCCGTGTTCTGCCCGATGGCAGACGTGTGACGAGAGAGCAATGAATCCCTACATGGTAGCATGTGGGCATGGGGGCATCATGGCCCATGGTGGCATGGGGGCATGGCCCATGGTGGCATGGGGGCAGGGAAGCGAGACTGACCGGAAGCGACGGCCGAGGGGCACCTGCCAGTCCTTGTAGTCCACCACCCGCTGGCTGTCCGATGCCTGCTCGCCCTCGCGCCCGCACCCACCCACACATCAACACATGACCGGACAAGTGTGCAGCGCACAGGGGGAAGGAGAGGAGAGGCGCATGGGGGGAGGTGGGGTGTGATAGCGGGGTGAGAGAAGAGAGTGGGGAGGTGGATGGGAATGTAGAGGCGAGCACGGGGACAAGGCGAGGAGGATGGCACGCTGAGGAGCGTGGAGACGGGAGGCAGAGGTAGCGACGTAAGAGCAGACAGCTCCCATGCACTGACCTTATTGCGCAGGTACTCTGGCGTGGTGGTCAGCGCATCCTGCACTGCCTTGGTGTCCTGCCGGGGAGGAGTGGTGCATCGAGGAGTGGAGGCGGGCATGTGGAGCACGCAATGTGGGGCACGCATGCATGTGGGATATGCAACACAGAACGCGGTTTGAGCGCGAGGTGAGGGTGAGAGGAGGCAGTGGTGGTGACATGGAAGGTGGCACGCATGGGCAAGGCGATAGCATGGCAGCATGGCGGTGCACGAGCACCACTGCACCCGCTCCGCATCCCAGCGCCACTCGCTCCCCACCACCCACCACTCACCATCCAGCCCACACTACCCACTCACGCCATATGCACATGCATGCAGCAATGGCGCTCCCCCCTCATCCCAGCCACTGCCTCAGTCCAGCCCAGGACCACATCCCCGCCCTGCAACCCTCCTCCTGCACCCCTCTGTGCCACACCCACGCCATGCAGCAGCCCCCCTGCAGCATGCACGGACCTGCGTCCAGAGGCAGCAGCAGTCGAAGTTAGTGAGCAGCCACTTGTGTGCGTTGATGGCCAGCGACTGCACGTGCTGCACGCCTGCCAGGTGCTGCCGGTGCTCCTCACACACACACGCTGCCCCCCCATACGCCGCATCCACATGCACCCACATGCCGTGCGCCTGGAGGGGGAGCGCAGAAGGGTACCGGGGGGAAGGGGGAGGGGAGGGAAGCGGGCAACATGTGGCTGTCGGATTGAGACGTTCCCGCTGCTGTATGCGTCATGGGCGTGCACGCAGATAGGTTCACAGTCCTCGCATTGCAGGCGGCTGTGTGGTGATGCGCGATGGGAAGGCATGCAGGGATGGGTGGTGTGCTGGGACGTACGGGTGTGCATGCACGGATGCAGCCCTGGGGAGAATCGGATGCGAGACGCACAGAGGGTGGGATCAGGAGTGTGGCGTGCAGCGCAGCCCACACATGCGCTGTGCCGGGTAGTCGTACCTGAGCTATGGCGGCAAGCGGTTCAATGGGGTCCACTGCGGTGGACGAGGTGGTGCCCACCTGGAATGGGAAGGAGGGCGAGCAGTGAAGGAGGAGGGGATGGGGAGAAACGAGATCGGGGAAGAGGAAAGGGAATCTGAGGATCATTGGGGGAGAGCAGGACACAGTGCAGACGGTGGGATGCCATGCAGATGAGAGTGATGAGACTGTATGCCATGTGTGTGTGCCATGACATAGCATCGTTCCACGCATGCATCACATCATGGCATGCACGCCGCAGCCCAGTGCACGGCCACCGTGTCGTACAGTGCAGGTGAGGAAGAAGGGCAGGAGGCCCGCACGCGTGTCGGCGTCCACAGCAGCTTGCAGCGTGCTGGGCTGCAGGGCATAGTTGTCGCTCGCACTCGTGGCCAGCACTCGCAGGTTGCTGCTGGGAAGGCCCGCGATCTGATAGGGGAAGAGGAGAGAGGGAAGGGGTGGGTGGGGCGCACGGCAGGGAAGGGACGTGGGTGGGGGGGAAGGGGAAGCAGGTGCGTGCGGATTGAGGGGAGAGGGATGCGGTGGGGAGTGGGTGACGGTGTCCAGCGGTGTGTGTGTGATGGAGTGAGAGAGGCGGGAGATGAAGGAAAGAGCAGGAACAAGGGAGAAGAAAGTAGCGGTTGGTGCTTCTTGGCGTTCTTTGCATCAGCCAGGGAATTGTCGTGAGCAGCACAGCACGGCCTTCCAGAAAACCCGTCTCCCCCGCCACACGCCCACGCCCATGCCCACGCCCACGCCCACGCCCACGCCCATGCCCACGCCCATGCCCACGCCCATGCCCATGCCCACGCCCACGCCCATGCCCATGCCCATGCCCATGCCCATGCCCATGCCCATGCCCATTCCCACGCCCATGCCCATGCCCATGCCCATGCCCATGCCCATGCCCATGCCCATGCCCATGCCCATGCCCACGCCCATGCCCACGCCCATGCCCATGCCCATGCCCACGCCCATGCCCATGCCCACGCCCATGCCCATGCCCATGCCCATGCCCATACCCATGCCCATGCCCACGCCCATGCCCATGCCCACGCCCATGCCCATGCCCATGCTCATGCCCATGCCCATGCCCATGCCCACGCCCATGCCCATGCCCACGCCCATGCCCATGCCCATGCCCATGCCCATGCCCACGCCCATGCCCATGCCCATGCCCCTCCCGCGCCTGGCAGCGCGCACCTGGCAAGCCTTCTTGACGCATGAGTGGGTCTGGTCCGACACATACGCCACCAGCCGCTCCAACCCGCCTCCACTCCCCACCACTGCCCCCTCTCCTCCCCCTCCCTCGCCAACAGCCCCCCTTGCGCCTGCCCCTGCAGCTGCATGTGCCTGTGCGTGCTGCTGCTGGTGCTGTGCGTGCAGGGCGCGCAGGGCCTTCTCGCGCGCTGCCAGCACCGCCACCAGCACCGCCTCGCTCGCAGTGCCCTGAATCACACCGCCCCCCCTCCCGCCTGCACGCGGGCGTGCTGCTGTTGGCGGGGAAGAAGGCGAAGAAGGACGGGCTCTGCCAATGCGTTATGCCCGGCATTATGGCGCCCGACACGTCTGCACGCGCGGGAGGGGGGAGGGTGGGGAAAGAGGGAGGAGAGGGACAATGGGGTGTGTGTGAGTGGGATGAGAAAGAGAGCCATGGTACGCACTGGTGCCATACTCGCGACCAGCAGCAGCGCCACAGACACGGGCAGCACCCAAGCAGCACCCAAGAAGCAGCCAGCATCAGCGGCATCAAACACGGACAGCAGGCAGCAGCAGCAGCATTACCTGCGAGTATCTTGTCGAGCGGCTCGCCTTCCTCTGGTGCGCTCTCAGGCACGTGCTGCTGCAGGTACCCTGGCTGATGGACGCGTGTGACGAGCGGGAGAGGGAAACGAGGAAGGGGGACGAGGGGAATGAGAGGTGCCGCGCTCGAGTGGACGAGGATGGAGGGAGGGGAGGGCGTGGGGCGATGGGATGAGAGGAGGGAGACACGGGGATGGAAGGATCAGTGGGAGGAGAGGAAGGCAGACGGACATATATGAGCGCTTTACCTCGACGGTGCTTCTAACGGGGTGTGACTCGATATCGCGGTAGTAGTCCGCGATATAGTCCACCATGCGGTGCGCGTGCGCGCGGAACTCCTCCGCGTCCAGCGGCTGGAGACTCGCCGGTCGGGGGAGAATGGCTTCGGCCGATCGGCCAGTGCCCGCATTGTCGCAGCGCGACGACGGCGCAGGCGGTGGCTGACGTGGCGCCTCTACTCCCGTTACTACCGTTCCGGAATGTTGGCCTTCCTCGCGAGGTGCGCATTCATGCAGAGACGTGTTACCGCACACGGACCTTTCGCCATTCGTCGCCAGGTGGAATGCAAGGGGCGTGTTGTGCGCATCTCTGGATTCGACGCGGCGATCCGAGAGATCGGCGGCGGCAGACACACTCTGGGCGTCCATGGCTGACCAGAATAAGCTCTAGTGTGAGCTTGCCGCAGGGCGCAGTGCATTCATGGGCTCGCTTTTTGCTTGAGGGGGGAGGTCTGCACTGGAGTTTCGGGTGAGATCCGGTAAATGTCATGACACGGTACATGCTAAAACGCTAATTGAAATACGATAAAGGAGATTACATACATGATACCTACGAACTTCACCAACTATGCACATTATATTAGTTGGCTATTCGCATATCTGCAGTAAGAAGAGATAACCCAAGTGATCAGACAACACATAGAGTGAGATCAGATCCATTGAACATCTCGGTTGAACTTGACACTCTTCTTGCTCGCACTCAGCTGCCTGCCCTCCACCCCCCTGCCACGCACCTCCGCCCCTTCCGCAAGCCCTGCGTGCATACTGTGAGACAAGTCAATGCTCGCACCAGGGTTCATCACAGCATCTTCACCACACTCTGAATCCAGCCACACACTGTGAATGCTGCGACTGCTGCCATTACTGCTGCTGCTGCTGCTAGAGCTTATGCGGATGCTCCTGCTACTGCCGTTACTGTCACGGCGGCTCAGACTGCTCCAGCTGCTGCTGCTGCTACTGCTGCTGCTTCTCCTGCTGCTATTCGGAGTGCTGTCTCTGCTCCCAGCGCCCAGCGACCGCTGCGTGCTTCCATCTCTCACCGCCACAGCCCCCTTGCGTGCGTCTCGCCGCTCTGCACCTCTGCTACTTTTGGCGGTATCATACATCTCCATGGCCCACGATGAGAAGTTCAAATCCGCAGACATGCTGCGCCGGCTCCGTCCCTGCACCTGGCGCCCATTCCCATCCCCCGCACCGCTCACTACCCCAGGCGCTCCATGCACGCCCCCACCACGACCACTTGCTGCTGCGCTGTGAGCCTGCGTCGGGGCTGGCTTGGCTAAGCCCGCTGTGGCGTGCATGTGGTGGGCGGCGGACACCATGGCCCTCCGTTGAGCCACCGTCTGGTACAGCCCCACGAAGTCATCATCGGAATCGCTGCCGTCGTCATGTGCCACAGGCACAAGCCGAGCATCACCGCCAACGCCATTTGAAATCACGCCTCTAGCCGTTAGACTGTTTGTGCACGCCTTTCCGGTCCTCACCGTTTCAGAAGGAAGGTTGAGAACAGGAACCGAGTGAGGGCTTGGTATCGAGTCACTCTGCAAAGGGAATGCGAACGCAGTAGGGCTGAGCGCATTAGGGCTGACCGCAGGGCTGAACCCGCCTTGCCTAGCCCTTACCACCGTTAATCGCGGCGACTCCTCGCGCGCCCACGGGCTGCTCGCCATGATCTGGGCAGCCGTGCTCTGCGACGGGGGTTCAACTCGTACGAGCGTGGGCGACGTCGCACGCAATCGGTCACCGTCACTCGCGAACATCGCAGGCTCGTCAAGCGACGCGGGACGTGGAGATACCTGCGGATACGCACTGCTGTGCGACGCGGCGGGTTTCCGGGAGCGAGGCGGCAGGCCCGAGGGCGTGGTGGGGCAGGCAACGGGTGATGGGGGGGTGGCGGAGACCGAAGGAGCGCACGAGGTGAAGACGGGGGACGGGCACGAGGCGGGAAAGGAGGCGGAACTGTCGAGGCCCCTGGGTCGCGTACCGCCGCGACGGTTTACTGGCGTGGTGGCTGTTGCACGCGGAGGCGAATCCGACGGGGGACTGCCGGCAGAACGACCGCCGGCGGCAGAGGCGGCGAAGAGGACGCGATGGCGATTGGGCGAGGGGGTGGCGGGTGTGGGCGCGGTGGCGGCCGCGATGAGCGCGAGGTTGTTGCTGGACCCCGAGCACCGCGCCATGCGCGCCCCGGGCGCGGGAAGCGGCTGGAGAGCGTCGGCCATGAGGGCGTCATGGTCGGGGCACGACAGCGACCGCCGGTGACTGCCGGCGCGCCTCCGCGCCTCGCCGCTCGAGCCAGAGGCAGAGGCGGAGGCGGACGAGATTTGCGCGGCTGCAGCAGGCTGGGGGGAGCGGCGAGTGCAGGGGGGCATCATGTTGACGGCAGAGTCGCTCGGCGCGCAGTGGCTCAGCGCGTCCTTCCTCACTGCAACAATCGAGCCCTCACTTGCGCCGTGGATGGCGGGCACGCTCCCGTCCACGAACGGCGGACTCGCACCTCCCCCGCGGGGCGCGGATGCGGAAGCCGACCACGCGCCACGGACCATGGAAACAGGGGACATGGGTGACACGCTGCTCGCAGCGCTGGGCGGGCTCGTGGGGGCTGGGATTCGCCGCCGCGCGCTTCGTACGGGACCGCTGGCGCCGGAGCGGCTCGTTGGAGTGCATGCGGAGCTGGCGGGGAAGGCTTCCGAGGCTACCCCTGAAATTGTCGCGGCGGCGTCCGCATCCACGTCAGCGGCGAGCGGAGGCGGGTCCGAGCCGCGCTCCATGATTCGTCGCCTGCGCGAGAGGAGGCGCGGGTCTGTGGCTCGCGGAGACTCGGCGACGCGTTCGGCAATAACGGTGGATGCGGGGGTGAGCAGCTGCCAAGTTGAAGCGGCAGAGCGGTCGGCCATGGCGACGGACATAGCGGTGGGGTCGAGTCGCAATGGGTCGCAGGCAAGGCGACGACGACGACTGTGCTGTGGTTTCGGCTGCTGGTGCAGCGAAACGCGAGATGGAGCTCGCAGGAGAGGCAGGGATGGTCTCAGGACAAGCTGCCACTAATCATGCGCTGTGAGGGCAAACGTAAACATTTGTTGTGGAGCTTTTAGATGTGGTAGCTGGCGCTCAAGAAATGCATAACTTCCAGTTCGTCGTGATACAACATGAACGGACAAGTCAGCCTGACTGATATGAAGACGAGCACGTGATCGAAAGACACAGCGAGCGCCAGTTTTCCTACACTGTTTCCGCATGATATTTGGGCTGCCGCGTTGGCTTGCCACGGCCCACGGGCCACGGTCTTCCATTACTGTACTGCCTGAATTGCTCGCAGCGCCACATCGAGGTCACTGTACAACTGTCACGGTGGTCGCGCAAAAGATTCCTCCCTCCCAATCCAGAATCCTCGAAAACATGGCAATATAGTCTTCGCGAATGGGCGAGGGGGGGCATTACTTCTCATGCTGGACGGATGCACTAGTTGGTGTGGGGAGAGTGAGGCCTGGGTTAGAAAATCGAAACGGGTACACGCCTCAGGCCTCAGTGCAGCATTCTGCGAATGGTGGCTGGACGAAATCTTCTGCGCCTGCGCCGCCCAAGAAAATGGGTGAAAGAAATGGGAGAGGAGAGGAACAATGGGGCAAGCAAGACGATGGACGAGGAAGGGCATGCGGTTGGTTTCGTTGCGTAAGAAATCCCACCCCAAACATCGACATATACACCCACTTCGTCGCTAATGTCATGAAGGACCATGTGAGCAGATCCTAGCGCATCATTCTGTCGTTTGTAAGCGGGAGCCGAGCCGAAACTGTTCCTAACATTTTATCATATTGGGAATATGAAATCCTTTATGACGCCTATGGAGGGTAGAATTTGGGATCTAAGTGTTTCATTAGGCTGTTTGTTTCGTCAGACGGATTTGTTTATGTTGCGGAACATCCAATAAATTAGAATTTGCGTTTCTATTTCAAAACTTAACGAAATAAAAAAACTGAAAGAGCAACAATCCACGTACTGCATGAAAAAACGGGGTGGCAAACTTAACTATGAGGGGTATGATTTATTAGCAGAATATTCAATATCTTAAATAACTGAAAATTTACATCAGATTTGAACGAGCATCATAATAACTACGCAGATATGATAATCTATATTATGAATATTTTCTATAACAAACCTATTTTAGGATTAAAACAAATCTGCAAACTGTATATTTTTTACATGAGCAAAATTGAAATAAATAATGTTCGCACATTGATTATATTGTATTTCGTATATAGATCAATATATTTTTGTTACAAATCCCTACTAGACTCTTCTGACCCGGTTTGGTTGAGCATCCACCCATATCTTGGCTTGTATCCGGAAAGATTATTTAGAGAAAGGTTTTGAGAGGTAAACGATGTGTACTCTCGATGACTTGAACAGACTACCCTTTGCTTGACGATACGCTCAGTCCAGTGCCCCCAGTCCCTGTCACTCACAGAACACAAAGGCGTCGGTTCCCATGTCAGCTGATCACCACCTTCAAGGTCGCGAATTTCTCGCGATGTAAAACGGTTTGTTTATTTACGATACAAATGATTACGGTTCACTGTGGTGCAGGGTGAAGGTTTGGCCCTCCAAACTTCAACCATCAGATTTCATCGCAATAGGATTTCGGGCTCGAGGCGAGGCCCAACCCCAGATGTATTTTGTACACACACTAGACAGAGCTGCTCGAGGTGGCCTCAATTTGTTGTTGCTGTGACCTGTCACCTCTCCCTTTCTCGTTCTCACAATAGGGAGATTCTTCTCGAAAACGCGAACCCGCGTTGTCTGGTTGTTGACCGCCAACAGTTACGAGATTAACAATTATAGGGCGTATTCGTATCGCGTGTCAGACATCAGGTCAGACCCTCTGAAGACACAAAGTCACTCGGTTTAGTTTAGTCTTACATATTTGGTTTCGTTTGCGTACTGGCCACACCCCGAATTACACAACGAAGTCAACGAGAAAATTGTAGGGTCGGAAAACCCCAGAAGGAGGTCCGGTGGGAAAATCGAGAACCAATCGCGTCAAAAACCCACTCAAAACCTTCGACCAATCACGTGAAAGTGGTGACAGTTTTGGGGCCGACACGGTAATTCTGGATGTGTCCTTTAATCACTAGGTTGCATATAAGCTACATAGCACAGTAAACCAATAAGCTGAATAAGCGCATCCTAATTTCGATCATATCATCATCTATCAATCAATTTATAATTAATCATTCCAGATACATATATGGTTATGCCTAAAATGGGTGAGAGTGTAATGGAAGCCACTATTCTTCAATGGCTTAAAAATAAATGAGGAACGATTATTGAAGCAGAAGCTATTTTAAAAATAGCGACTGATAATAGATACCGCGACTGATAAGGCATATTCATATTTTCCAGCTCCCTATGCAAGTAAGTTAAAAAGTAGATTAGTTTAGGCTTGCCATGTAATTCCTGTTGGTACGGTAAACCCATTGCTATTATTGAGATAATAGTTGCTGTCTTCATGGTCAATGATGTCAAATTATATTGCATGCATATCTGTATGCTGTAGTATGGTAGCCTTGTTAGAATATGGAAACATGAATGATTGCATTGGGGTTTGGGAGCAATACAAGTAGGCAACCCTAGAAGTGTTGTACCCTATATGGGCTACCCCACTACAGCCTACAAATATGCAATTGTATTTTGACACACCCCCAGAGGCAAAGTGGGGGATAGCAAACACAACGAACGGTCACAAGTGTGAGAATAGTAGCTATAGTGAGGAGCCACAGCTAGGTAAGTCCTAGGTAGGCAAGTGTAAGTTTAGGCAAAGAGAAGAAGGATTTCACTAGCAGCAATGAGGAAACATATAGCAAACCCTAGATGGGTTGTACCCGCTATAGAGCACCCCACTACAGGCTAGATTATAACATTCTGACACACCCCCATAGCCAAAGTGGGGTGTAATCAGCACAATGAGCAGGTATAGCAGGAGTTCACAATAGTAAGCAAAGCTAGAGTTAATCACAGCGGGCAAGTGAGGAGGAGGAGGAACTGTGAAGGGAGAGAAGATGCGAGGCAACGACTGAAGCTGCAGAGGCACGGGCACAGGAGCGGCTGACTCAGTGGCTACCGAAGCAAGGGCGACGGACTACTGGAGTGACTGGCTCCGCGGCTATAGACGAGCGGCAGGAGCAACGGACCCACTGGCGACTGGTGCAACAGGCTCACTGGCTACCGAAGCAAGGGCGACGGACTACAGGCGCTGCAGGCGACACGACAGCTACGTTCACACAACCTCCTCCAACTGCCCCACACCCTCGACACAAACCCCCTGCTGAACCCTAGCTCCACTCCCATGGCACCCCCCTTAAACCCTAAACCCTAGGCTCCCACACACCCACCCCCCTCAGCGGCAGCTGCAGCAGTGGGAGACGAGGGAGGAGGAGGAGCAAGGGGAGGAACTCACAACCGCCACCCCCACACCCGCCACCCCCAAACCCTAACGCAGGTAGGAGCGCGGGAAGCAGTAGGGGTGGGTCACGGAGGGAAAGGGAGGCGGCGGGGGGTCTCCAGGGCGCCACGAAAAAGCAGGGCGCGGGCCCCCCGAGGGCGCCACAGCGGATGACGGGAGGGGGGCCGCGCACGGGCCCACGAGGGCGGCTCGACGGGCGACGGGAGGGGCCGCGCGCGGGCCCCCAAGGCGCCGCGACGAGGCGACGGTTGGGGCCGGCGCGCGGGCCCCCAGGGCGCCGCGACGAGGCGACGGGAGGGGCCGGCTCGCGGGCCCCTAAGGCGCCGCGACGAAGGGACGGGAGGGGGCCGGCGCGCGGGCCCCCAGGGCGCCGCGACGAGGCGACGGGAGGAGGGCGACGCGCGGGCCCCCAGGGCGCCACACGAAGCAAGAAACCGCCGTGCGCCTCGGGGCGCACGGCGGGCAGAAAACTGCCACGCGCCCCGAGCGCGTGGCGGGAAGAAAAATCGAAGGTCGCGCGCCACAGGGCGCGCGACACACAGTAGGGCAGCGGAAGCAGGTGGGCCCACAGGCCAGGAGCGTAACCGCTCTGATAGCATGTGAGAATAGTAGCTATAGTGAGGAGCCACAGCTAGGTAAGTCCTAGGTAGGCAAGTGTAAGTTTAGGCAAAGAGAAGAAGGATTTCACTAGCAGCAATGAGGAAACATATAGCAAACCCTAGATGGGTTGTACCCGCTATAGAGCACCCCACTACAGGCTAGATTATAACATTCTGACAACAAGACCAATCAAGAAAGAGAACAAAGCAAAGCAAAGCTCGGGGTGGATCTCAAGATCATCACGCATGTGCACAAGCAAGCGGCCACAAGGCCAGTTCACATGTAGAGTTTATAATCGCAAGAGCAGTACACTGATCACAACCTAGCAAGTGTAAGCATGCAGGCATACTCATTTATATAAGTGTACAACAAGAGCAAGATCAAGAGACAAGCAAGTGAGGCAAACTGGGCACAAGCCCAAGAGCAATGCAGAAACGCTGATGATCACTAGACCCAAGGGCCTTGGTGGAGACATCAGCTGTGTTGGCCCGTGTGGCCACGTAAGCAAAACGAAGCTGACCACGCTGCTGCAGCTCTCGCGTGAGGAACTAACGGAGAGCAATGTGCTTCGTTCTGTGCTCCAGTCTCTGGTCCTGACACAAGGCAATCATGGCCTTGTTGTCAACGTACAGAACTGGAGGAGAACGAGGCCGCTCACCCAAGTCAGTCAGCAGGTAGGTCAGCCAGCGGAGCTCCTCCGCAGCCATAGACCCAGCGTAGATCTCGGCCTCACAGCTGGAACTAAGTACAGAAGAAGAGCGAGTGGACCTCCACGAGACAAGACCAGCGCCGAGGCTGAAACTGTACCCCTGTGTCGACCGGTGAGTCGTCTGGTCGTCAGCC